AGGTCAGAGGCGCGGTCGCTGGTCCTTTTTCTTTGTTAAGGGAGGGGTCTGTGGTGGTAATGGGCGGCAGCCTCACCCGATGCTGCTTTGTCAGAGGGAAGAGTTGTTCTTTCTCTTCTTTTTATTGGCTAAATCTCATTTAAAAAAAAATGAGAATGCATTCCCACAGCCAAATACAAGCTGAGCTAAATTGTTATTTGCTCATTCACCAGCAGCCACTTAATTCTCTCTTTTATCTTCACATGGGCTCCTGCAGCTTCCATTGAACAAAGGGTTGTGCATTTCTGGGAGAGAAAGATATAAATGTTCTAATCTTAACATTGCCCCTAAAGTTGGGGATCTGTGAACATTTTCTCTTAAAAATAAAGAGCTTCTACTCTTCTGAGTTGGAATAAGGGATATCCAAGCTGTAACAATAGCAACAATGACATGCTGAGTAGAATAGAAGTAAAATTAGGTTCTTGATGAATTAACAGCTCTTAAAATGATGCTTAAGGGCAGATATGAGCTATTCCAAAGAAGAAAAAACTTTGATGGGTTAAGATGGATGGATTTTAAAAATAGGATGATTCTCTGTGTTAGATTATAAATCTCATCCTTCCCAGCTGACACTTCTAAAAGGGCACTGGGTTGGGAAAAGCTGTCCTAACTTTGTTACAGAAGGACTAGAATGAAGGATAAAAAAGGTACTGATAAAGTCAAGGAGGTGGGTGATGGAAAAGAGGCAAAGTGTTCGAACAAAATCAATTTTAGACAGTGGCAGAAAAGAGAAAATGGTTTCCAACCGGAAATGTTTGGTAGCAGATGATGGGGAAGGTTGTAAAACGTATCTCAAGGAGATCATGTAAAGGAACACAGATATTTCTACTGAGTGTGACTTAAGTATAAGGAAATGGAGCTGTTGCAGAGAGAGATCCCATAAAATGCACTCTGATTGCACTCAACAGTCCTTTTATTGGCTCTGTTTTGCATCAGTTTCCCCTCTCCCCCAAAAAGACAAGGGCTAATGCTTGGGAGTTGTTGCCACTGCAAGAACCAAACAAATGGATGAGTTGATTCAGCTGAGTCTTTAGTAGAAGCAACTGAATAAAAGCAAATGGAGACTCTGTTGCCTGGCTCCTTCATGGCATTGAGTAGCTGGGCACAGGGGAATAAAATGCATCCTTGATCAATTAAGGGGAATGATCTGTATTGTACCTTGTGACCCTGGTTTACCATAAGTGGAAAAAGCTTTCTTTATTATGTTAATTCAAATTGCATTTCCATGTGATGTTCTCTGATCCTTGTGTGTACATTCTGTACATGGAGGAGACGATCCTGTGAACTTCCTTAAGTTGTTGTCTTCTAATTATGTAACTGGTTTCTTTAGTCAATGGTACATCTTGCAGATACCTTCTCATATAGCAGCTTGCTTCGATCCTGGCACATCCCCTCTATATAAGCAGCCAGGTTGGCTGGGAACAATGGAAGGTGCAGTCCCAATACATCTGGAGAGCACAAGGTTCAGGATGTCTTCTCTTCTTGTGTACTTACAGTTGCTATGAATTATCTCAAAATGCTTGGGTACACAGGCTGCCAAGACCATGAGGCTGATCACTCAGGTGGGAGTAAAGGAAAAATTAAAAAACAAAACCAAATCAGGGATGATGCCATTCTCCTGGGACTGCATTGGATGTGTAGATGCTATAAGTGTTGCCCTTTGGATGCCAGGCTGAGTTTGGGTACTTGGCATGGCAACTACTGGATCACATGCTGGTTGCTAGCAATCCTTTTTATTCTTTTTGAAAAACATTTTACTAGGATGATGAGCCAGGAGAGCCCAGAGATATTCTGGTAAAACTAGACTATGATATACAACAATATTCCAATGAGATAGTAGAGAAGATGGCATGTGGGCTGGACCATGTTACCATTTAATAGATATTAGAGCTGGCTGAACAGTTATGCACCAAAGGAAGCACTGAGTGGCATACCACAGGACTCTCTTTTAGGCCCTGTGCTGTTGAACATATTTATTAATTATTTAGATGAGGGTTTAAAAATTGGCTTTATCATATTTGCAGATTACACAAAAATTAAGGGGAAGCTAAGTCCTTGGAGGACAGTATCAAGACTGAACAGGATCTTGTACAATGGAACGTTGGACAAAACTCCCAAAATTAATTTCAGTAGAGACAAATGTATTTATTTAAATTTATTGGTTGCCAAACTCTAGTGGACTCTGGGCAGCGTACAAAACTAAAAAGGGGGGGGGGATACAGGCAGCCCAGATTAAAATATGCTGCTAACAAAACTCACAGAACAAAATTGGGGCCATTAACTAATAAGCATCAACCCCAGGCCTGGGACCAGAGCCTGGTTTTCAAGGCTTTCTGGAACCCCAGGAGAGAGGGCGCCATCCTTATCTCTGGGGGGATGCTGTTCAAGAGGGTGGAGGCCCTGACAGAGAAGGCCCGCTTCCTAGGTCCCACAAGATGCCAGTGTTTAATGGAGGGGACCTGGAGTGCACCCACTCTGCAGGCAGAAACTATTGGAGATAAGCAGTCTCTCAGGTATCTGAGCCCTATACTATACAATGCAAATGCAGTCTTACACTTGGATAGGAAAATCAAAGCATAGTATAGGATGGCAAGGTAGGTGGAGATATCATATCTGAATGGCAGCCATGTAGTCTGTGGAACAGGCAAAGTTGGTCCAGAAGACAGGACCCCAAAGAATGGTTACATTATATGGGAATAGATTTTGGTTGGACGTGAAGAAAAACTTCTTAAGCTGTTCAGCAACGAAAGAGATTTCCTTGGGAGGGTGTTTTAACAAGGGGTGGATAACCTTCTGTTGGCAATGTTGTAGTAGTCTATTCCTTCATTGGGTGAGCGGCTGCGTGGGATAAGCGAGAGCTCCAAGGTCTCTTCCAACCCTCGCATTCCATGATTGTGTGATAACTGCAGCCTCACCTATTGTATCCTCACAAGTCAAATAATGGCTTGCCTGATGTCTTGGTAAAGATAGGGGCAGGGAGCCTCTGTTGCTTATCAGTGTGTACCTTAAGCTTTCCCAGCTTCTTTTTACTGCTTTTGGAACCAAACCTATAGTTCACGCTTTGGGGAAGAGAAACAGGGTTTGGTGAAAGAGCAAATACATCTTGAATCCAATATCAAATAATGTGATGATATGAACTCCTTCAAGTTTCAAGACAGACCATTTTCCATATAATGCCACTTTCAGATGAGATGGTGAGACTTTGTATTCTGCCCTCTTAAATTCATTGTGGCTCTAGGGAAGGGCTTGGAGCCTTGAAGAGAAGCTGCGGGTGCTGTATTTACTCAAAACTAGGGGGCATTTACTAACGAACTTCTAACTTGCCTTCCTTCAAGAGGCCGGTGGTAGAATAAGTGGATTAGAGGCTCGTAGAGAAACTTGTTCTGCTAAACTCCCACTTAGAGTGCTTTGTATTGAATGGAAAGATAGGATACAAATGTGGTGTGGTGTTGTCAGTTTGCAGGGGTGCATCTGTCTGTGTATGAATAGCAGTTGGTCCAAGCTGTGTACATGCATGTGCTATTAGTGGCATGCTGTTTTGGTGTGGCCTTTGGACTCCTTCCTGAATCTAATAGGTGCTGATTCTGATTATTGCTGTAGTCAGTGATGTTGCTGCCTTGTTTCATAGATATAAAATTCACACATCAGTAGAGATGCTACAGAGCATAAGTAAGATCAGCCATAATGGTGATCTTCAGTGTCCCCACTGAAAGTTCTCACCTGTTCGGTTAAAGGAGCATTGTCCCAACTGATTTGTAGCACAAGGGCGCACAATATACCGGCCTGATAGAAGCCCTCCAGAATTGCTAAGCGTACAGTAGACAGCTTCCCTGTGTAGCACCAAGAAGCAAGTGCTGTCCTCTACTTTGCTGCAGCCTAGAGAAGGATCTGGCTCCTCTTGCAGTACAGCCACTCCTTGTTTAGCGGCTACCTCACTTAGTGGCCACTTGCAAATATAAGGGTAATTTTAAAAAAATTAACGACCAATGCATGCACTTATGACCACGTTTCTGCGTCTGATAGCAATGCATGCCAGAGTGAGAGTAATGCTGGTATAGCTATACAAGAACTTTATCTGAATGAGATGGCAGCAACCAGTGACCTTCGCACCCTCTCTCTCTCAGTCATGTGTTCGCTTAGTGACCATTTCACTTCCTATTTAAGGAACTGATTGTGGTTGCTAAATGAGGAAAGGGTGCAAGAGCAAGAAGGAAAAGAACAGGCTATGGCTGCCCATCCACCCAGAGGTCCTACACACAAACGTGAGTGAAGGGGGCCAGAAGCAACTGGCTTTCTGAATCAGGAGCCTTTGCCTTTCCAGACTCTACAGTGCTGGGGATGGAGGGCGTAAAGGAGATTGTTAATGGGAAATGGGAGTTTTTCTTCTCTCTCCTTGTACCACAGAAAGCATTGATGCATACTGATCAATGTGTGATCAGACTGGGAGAATGGGTGGGTGGATAGCGTTGGCTCTGGCTTTTCTTTTGCTGTGGCAAGGAGCATTGCCCCTTGGGACATCAGGTAGGAAAAGCAGCCTTAAAATGTTCTAGTGGCTGAAAAGACGTTATCGAGCCTATTTAAGATACTCTTTTTTTGTAGTCCCTTCTGCTTCAGTAATGCATTGTTCACTGGCTGAATTTGCACATTGCAATCATGGTTTATGGAAAATATGATTAAACAGATAGTACCACAAGTAGCGCAAAGAAAAAAAAATCAACTCAAAAACTTTGTGGCTTCTCATGATGTGTGACTTCAGCTAGTGACTTCTGTGCAGTAAGGAACTGAGATTAAAGATTTCTTTTGGGATTTTTCTTTTATAGGCAGTAATACCGGGATTGCTTAGAGGAAAGTGTAAGTGTAAGCATGTTTTAGAGGAAAATGAATTGATGGTGTGCGTATGTGAATATCTTTTCAACTGAACTTTGACCTGAGCCCATCTACTTTTTGGAATGCAGCTCCTGGCAGACTGCTCCAAAACCGTGGTCCGAACAAGGTTGTTCACCTTTGCCACAGCAAGCTGAAAGTCGTCGTTGCTCTGACGTGGCCTCCCTAGAAGGTGAGTTTTGTGATATCCTAGATGTAATTGTCGGTCCTATCAGTGATGAATATTGTTGTAAAAGTCTGTGACAATAAAGTAAGGATAACGTCGGTGAACAGAGGATAGCATATTCTGATTTCCTTGTGCATTTTGTCAGTGCTGACTGCAATCCTGTTTGCATCCAGTGTCATCTTCCACCATCAGTAAGCAGGAGCTGAAATACGCATAGTTACAGTCTCTACTGTGTCTTCTTGGAGGTCCAGCAATAGATATGGCTCAGGTCACCTTGGCAGTGCTCCTCTTTTTCAGGACCAAAGTGAAAACTGCCAAGCCATTCAGAGGGACACATACCACCTGCCTGGGGCCTGTGAATGTGAAGATGGATGACGGCGGCAAAGCTGCTAGTGGAGCCTCAGTTTCACAGGCCAATGGTGTGGTAACTGCTAGGAAAAGGGTGCCAATTGCTTCCAAACAAAAGGCCGTCAAGGCCTCTCAGCCAGCAAACAAGGTTCCCAACAGGAAGCAGCCAGCAGCCCCTGCTGCTCATCCTCCTTCAGCTCCTTGTGGGGCTTCCAGGACACTTGGTGATGGAACAGCTGGGAGGACCAACGTGCTGCAGCCAAAGCAGTCGGCACCCAAGACCAGCAGCGCTGCCAACCTGTCTGCTAGAGTGACAGTGAAAAAGGGAACAGGGGACTGGCCAAGTGGACCGAAGACTTCAGAAAAGATGGCTCTGGAGAAGGAGATGCAGCAAAAACCCACAAAGGTGACCACACAACCCATAGCTTTAGGTATGCTTTGCCTGTTTTTTTTTTTAGCATGGAGTAATTAATCCTGGACTTGGTTCCTTCCTGCATTTTCGGCGTCTTTGAGAATGGTTTTAAATGCACACACGTTCTGATTTATTCTTTTATTCAGAAAAAATCTGAATTCCTCACTGAGAGCCATCTAATGCTGCCGGCTGTTGGGAAGAATGTAAGAACTGTATGGATGATTGGCAGGCTCTCTTTTCTTAAATCATTAGAACTTTGGATGGCCTTTCAAAACTCATAACCAGGCAAGCAGTTAATTGTGGTAGCCTTAAGGCTGAGTTCTCAGGATGCTACACCTTCTGTATTTGTCTCTGATGATTTTCTGAAAGCCATGACATACTGCTTAATCCTGAAAAAGAAATCTTCCCTTGTCTTACTTTCAACAGATAACTCTTGCATGCATTCATTGCAATGTGTCAGATGATTGTTAAGCGGTTGCCTTTTTTTTTTTCTTTCTTCCACCAGCCTCAAAGACACCTTCAGCAAAGCCCAGGAGAGTTGAACAGACTAAACCTTCCAGGTATCAGCTTTTGGTACCAGTTCCAGATGTACCAGTCAAGGAATTGGGATTTTAAATGCCCTCTCTCTGTATGTGTGTGCTGATTTGCTCAGAAATGCCAGGTTTTTGAGGTATAAAGCAGTGCCTTGACAGAGGGAATTGCTGTCAGTTATGGTGGGAGCAGTTGTTGTACGTTAATATAATGTATTTCTTCAGACTGGTCAGGTTGCATATACGGAATGCATGCATGTGCGCCTATTAAAGCAGTGAGATAGGTTTGATTGAGACACCGTCTTGCTTACAACACCTGAGTGTCATGTCTGTATCTAGATTTGAGCCTGGATCTTTGCAGTCCCAGTTTGGCACTCTGTCCGTTTCACCACTGTCTCTCTGTCATCATAGCAATTTGATATGACCCCAATCCCATTAGAAAGAAAGAAGAGAACATTGCAAACAGTACACAAGTGTATTTAGAACTGTAGTGTAATAAGAGTAAATCATACTAGTAGCAGAATGGAGGGCTGCCAGCTTATTGGAGCTAAAGCCAAGGAATGCCTCTATAACAAGGCAAATAACTGTCTAGTATACAAGTGTACTATACTATAGTTTACTATTGCATACCTCAACTGATGCAATTTCTGTGAGGAACATATATACAATCAGTGGATAAAAGGACTGAATGAGCTGTTCCAGTGGAAGGGAGGCCTCCAGTTTGGTGGTGATCTCCATTTCTGTTCTGGGGCCTAGGTGGCTGGAGTGTGGGTGTTCCCGGCCTCGAGGTACTGTTGTTCAGTGGCATTGTCTGTCTGTAACAAGCCCTCATTTATTCATGACAAACTTGCACACCTGGCAAATAACCAAGATGTGGTTGGGTGAAGGCAGCAATGTCACCCTATCTGAAATCTGCCCTGGTGGGTTTTGGGGCCATGGCTGGAGTGGAAGGGTGGTGTTGATCTGCCTTGAGACCTTATATATGACTAGGGTCATTGTTCCTCAGATAGTGGGATATGAATGCCTATGATTTAGGCTGGATTGTAGGGACAAGCTGGGAATCTTGTTGGTGAACCGACCACCGTGCTGCCCACCAGGATCCTTCCCTGGACTCTTGGATCTGGTCTTCAGGCTCGTGATGGAGACCCCCTCATCTGTTGGTGCTGAGGGATGTCAACCTCTGTGCCCAGGAGGTCATGGCAATCATGGGATTGTCCCAGGTAATCTCAGGCCCAACACATACAGAAGGACAGATGTTAGCCCTTGTTTTTACCTCAAAGCAGCTGTCTTGTAATCTAGATATAGAGGGAATTTCTGTCATCCCTTGGCCATGATTAGATCACATCCTGGTCCAAATGAAATTGACAGCCACCCTTTTGGATGATGTTGTTGTCTTGCCATGTTAGCTGGGACTCATTTTGGCCTGTGACAATAAAGTGGATAGGATGCTTTCTAGGGGATATCCTCTGCCACTTGGGGGCTGTATCCTTGCCCTTTGTGCATCTGTGTGTAACTGGGGAAGAGGTGCTTACTCGGATCTAGGACGTGGTCAGCACCATTGGGGGGGGGGGGTTTGCCATCAGCCTTGAAAGAGGCTGAGATGTGCCCCCTCCATAAGAGGACTTTTTTGGAACTAGAGGTATTCAGTGCTGCTCCGTCTCCAACCATATCTATTTAGGGAAGATTGTTGAGATGGAGGGGGGATCACTGTGAACTGCTACCCCAGAGGAAATGGATTATCTGGATCCTTTCCAATCAGAATTCAGGCCTGGACCTGGGATGGAGATGGTATTGATTGCTTTAGTAGATTACCTTTTGGGGATCCTGGATGGGGGAGTCCTGATCCTCTTAGACCTCTCGACAGCATTCAGTACCATTGACTGCTGGATTATCTGGGGGGGGGGTAGGGAATGGGGGCATTATGCTGCAGTGCTTCCACTCCTTCCTCAGCATATGTTCCAGGTTGGTGGGGGAAGGAGATGTTGGCCCAGTGGTCACTTTAAGGAATGCCACAGGGGTCTCTCCTTCATTCCTTACTATCTGCATGAAGTTCCTGGAGGAGATCATTCAACAGCTCAGGGTTCAATGTCATCACTATGTTGATGATACCCAGCTCTATGTCACAACCTCAGACCACGCTGGAGATACTGTTGAAGTCCTCCCTGATGCCTGAAAGCTGAGAGTGTCTGCGTCAGGCAAACAGGCAATCCAAGCAAGACAGAATTGCTGTCTGTCCATTAGGGGTCTCTGTTTGCTTCAGTGATAGGTGTTACCTTTTAAGGAGCAGGTTTGTGACTTGTGGGTCCTCCTGGATTCCTGGTTCCTGCTGAGAGCAGCAGGCAAAGGCCATGGCCAGGGGTCTTTTGTACAGGTTTGGCTGATGTGCCAGTTGCAGCCCTATCTGGGTGAGAGGATCTCAGTTCAGTGGCTCATGTCCTTATCACTACCCCTTTGGACTACTGCAACTTGCTCTACTTTGGGCTGTCTCTAAAACTACACAGAAGCTGCAAATAGTCCAAAAGACAGCAGATCACACAATTACTAACAACTGGCATTGGGTGCACATTGCACATGTGCTATGGGCCCTGCATTGGCTACCAGTAAGCTTCCACATGCAATTTACAGTGCTGATTTTAACCCATGCAGTCCTCTACGGCTTGGCGCCAGGTTACCTTCAGGACCACATTCTCCCACTAGAATGGCCCAACTACACACACTTTCTGAGAGGAGTAGCTTGTGATCCCCCACTTTTGGATGGTAGGGGGGCTGGGGTCAGAAGGCACTGCTTCTCAGTGGCAGCATCAGCCCTTTGGAATGGCATCCTGGTTTGAATTACATTGTAACAGCCTTCTACAAACACCTTAAAAGAGATTTTTTATAGAACGTTTGGGGACTGACACCATTTATTGTTATGTTATGGTTGTTTTTCTATTAAGGTTTTTTTTTTAACTGTGAAAGTTTTAATAGTATATGTGTATATCTGTGCACCACTGTGTTCTTAATTGGATTAAAGTGAGATATAAATGTAATAAATACATGGCTAAACATTAACTCAGTGGTACAGTATTTAGCCTCCTAGTGGCTGGAGCAATACAGTCATTCTGATAAAGAAGGAATATGTAATTTTGTCATGTTCATATTCCTTAGAGAAGCACGTCAGATTAGCTAATTCAGCCTTCTTGCAATTTGAGGTCCTCCAGAGATGTTTGACTACAACTTAGAATTCCCAGTCAATATGGTCAACGGGAGTTATCACTGACACATCTAGAGGGCATCCGGTTGGGAAAGGCTGGATTGTATTTTGAGCTGTGCTGCTCATGTAGAAGTGAGGTGGCTGTGTGAAAGTGATATCAGTCATTTTCAGTCTAGTCTGAAATGCCAGTCTCTCACCAAATCAGAGATGCAGATGGAAGCAAGAGTTTAGGCAGAGATCAAACGGTCTGAAATTTGACCTGTTGCAAATTAAAGATAATTGAATATGCATAGTCTCAGCAAAAATTAGAAGGCAGAAGTGATAAATCAGTGTTTCTCAACCTTGGGAACTTGAAGAGGTGTGGACTTCAACTCCCAGAATTCCCCAGCCAGCCAAGAGAAGTCCACACCTCTTCAAGTTCCCAAGGTTGAGAAACACTGTGATAAATGAACAGTAAAAGAATAAGATAGCTTAGAATATGTGCCAGATGCAGGCTAGACCCTCACAGGGGAATCGGAAATGGCTCCAGTTCAGATACTGAAAATAATAGTTGGAGAAAACCATGGTTATTTTGTGATTTTGTTCCTGCCCCAGTTTGTTTGAATATTGGAAGATACCTTCAGGTGCAAGAGGAAGGTGGGTAGCTAGAAGGAATACATTTCAAGCCGTTAACCCAAATGGAAACATCCTATCTGGTTCTTGATCTAATGGCTGAACTCTCTGCAGTTTTTTCTCTTTGCTGCAAGTGTCGAATGCTGGTACTGTCAGGACAAACCTGGCTCATAGACTGAACTTGACGACGCTTCAAGTCCATTTGTATTGAGGTGATAGATTGCTGGGACAAATGTGCCCACTATGTTTTCTAAAGGTTTGGGCAAGGTTTTCTCCTGTGCATAATTGTTTGCTCTCTGTTTCAGGACTTGGTTGCCAGGGACTAAGAATTCAACTTCATCCTCTTTAAACAGAATTGCTACTAATGATAAGAGTGTGGACAAACATAAGCAAACAGCGCCACCTGCTGGTCAGGCGACACCTACACAGCAGCCAAAAAGCACTCTGGCAGCGCAGAGAGGTACGTAGCCTGGGGTCATGGCACAAATGCCCCGTCTGCCTTACCAGCTGAACTTCGCAGTGCCTAAATGGGAAAGGTCATATTTCACAGGAATGTTAGATAATGCATATAACTGGAAGTAATCAGGCTAGAGGCAGATCTTCATAGAGATGTTTTGCAGTGTTTTTTGGATTTCAAAGATAGCGTGTTATTTTATCATTCAAGGATCATTACTCTCTAAGATCACTTAGAATGATCTACATTGCAGATGGAGGATCAAGGCTGCAAAGGGTCGCTTGACTAAGCACACCTAGTGAGAATTAGATTTCCATTTCATCAGCTTTCCCTAACCTGGTGCCTTCCAATGTTTTTTACTTCAGCTTCCATAATTTCCTGTAGTCGTAGTGGCTTTTGCTGGCCAATTGTTATGAGAGAGGCATCTGAAGAGATTGTGCTGAACTCCAACTCCGGTAACAATTGGCCAGCAAAACATGCAGTGATTGGAATATTTAATATTCCACATCTGGAAAGGTTAGGGAAGTCTGCACTAAGCATTAGATACTTTTAACATACTAGCTTATTCCAAAACAGGCTTGGGGCCTGCCAAATACAAGGAGGGAAAGGTTGCAACAGCAATAAGCCCATTGAAGAAGGGACAATGCCCACTGAAGCATTAAATACTACAATGTTATTTTTATGATGCTTGGAACTATATCAGTCACTTCCATATTAAATGGAAGATCACGTTCACTTGCCAGGGAACGTGAGTCTTAAAGCTACAGTTAGAAATAGGCCTTTGGACGCTAGGGACTTTTGGGTATTTTGCCCAGATTACATGTTAGCTTTTCCAGTCCAAACAAATATGTAAAATGTATTTTATTATTCCAGATGCTTCCAGAGCTGCTACAGTTCTAAATGCCAAGGTTTCAAGCTCCAGTTCCTTTGTGAAAATGCCACCTGTCTTAAAGCATCCCAAATACTCAGCCTCCAAATCACAATCTGAGCAAAAACTCGGGGAGAGGAATGTGACTACACCTATGAACAGCAGATTTTCAGCAAAGAAGTTTTCAGACCCCAGTAAACCCCAAATTCCTGCCAAGGCAGCTGGTGGGAGTCTCCATCCAGCCACTCCCCCAAAAGCCTTTGCCTCTTCTCCTAGGCTTCTGCCTGCAGGGGAGAATCCAGGCAAGAAGCTTCTGAAGAAAGATACTGTTTCCAGTCGTGAGCAAGTGACCCCAAAAAAGAAGCTTCAGAAGACAAGTGCCAAGGAAGGAAATTGCAAGAAAACCATCAAAGAAGCAGAAAGTGCTTCCATCAAGGATACAAAGCTTCTAGAAAAGCTGAAATCTACAACAGAGGAAGAGACTCTTGACCAGGTACTCTCCCGAGAGACTGCAAACTGTTGCATAACAGTAGTAGGGATGAAGCAGATGGAACCAAGAGGCTCAGAAGAAGAGGGCAGAGCTGAACAGACAAACATTAATACTTCAGAAGGGCTGTCTCCAGTGCTCCTTGAAGCACCTCTAGTCTGCCTTGGACCACAAGATATGAATATATCCTCTCCTGGTGAAATGCCTCACTTGGCTGCTCTTGATGTCCTGGAGCTGCATTGTGATAGTGGTGATGAAACACACAGTTTGGAGCCAGCATTCCCTTGTGAAACATCTTTTCCCATTCAGTTGGAGGTCTCTCACCAAACTTCTCCAGCAGAAACCTTATGGCATGGAGGAGGAGGAGGAGGCAGGGACTCTGAGCACCTCAGAAAACAAGCATTTCATTTTGATGCTTCAGTGGCTATTGAGCAGCCCCATTTCTTGCACAACGCTGACATGTCTTGTGTTGACATACACTATATTTCAACAACATCCCTTCCAGCTGAGGATTCCCAGATTTCAGTAAATGAGGCCATTCCTATGCTAGACAGGTCTCCTTCTTCTGAGTCCTTGACTTTAGAGGCTGAATTGCTTGAAGAAACTCAAACCATAAAGCTATTAGTCCTTGCAGGGACACAGGAGGAGCCCAGTCTTTCAGCAGAGCAATCTCTCTCAGCTAATCAGGTTGATCCTACCTTGAAAACTGTAACAGAGTCTCTAGCAGCTGGCCATGACGGCAGGAATGAGTTGGAAATGGTGAACAGGGTATTGAATTTGTGTCAGAATCCAGAGGAAGATCTGCAGAAGGAAGTGGTATCTCTGGAGGTAGGGAATGAAAGACTGAAGAGCCCCCTAGATCTTGCAACTGAAGATAGTGAACTTACACAGAAGGTAGTCACTTCTCAGCAGATGGAGGGTGTACACTGTGCACCTATTCATGCTGAAGATGAAGAGTTAATGGAAGTTCTGCAAGTAGCAGAACATTTAATGACGGGAACAGTTGCTCAGTACCAAACCCGTCTCCCTGTGTTTGTGGCTGCAACTTCAATTCCTACAGAATTGACTGGAGAGCTTTCTGCAGACCATGATGATCAATCTAGCAGTTTAGATGAATATCCCACCATTGGAGATCTTGAGGATGATGCAGTAATTCCAGAAGAATGTATGAGTAACATGAAACAAGAAGAGGTCACCCAGTGTGAAACTCCAGACTTCTTGCTTCATCTTTCAGGGGAGATCTCACCAAATAGTGGTGCTCAGCTGTCAGTGCACAAACCTCAGAGCCTTCCCTTGAAGAGCCTGGAGTTGTTACAAGAACACCCCACTCAGTTGACTGAAATGCCAGAGTTGCTGCTAAGTAGTACAGGGCTGAAAGCATTCTCCCCAGAGAAGGGGGGCTCATCTTCCAAATCCAGCACATTAAGTGGGCCTGATCTGGCAGGTAAGAGCAGTAGTGAAACTAGCACACCTGAGGAGCTGCGGGAATATGACAGTAGCTCTGGAGTTGAGTCTAAGTCAGATGAGAAACTGGAACAAACTTGTCATCAGCTCCTGAGTCCCTTGGAGGACCTCCCTGGTGAACTTGATCTCGGCATCCACATGGAAAAGGGAGATGATGAGGCAGAGACCCTACCAGCAGATGAAGTCCTTGGAGATCCACCTACTGAGCCCACTGTATCCTCTGAAGAGGAAGCTGAATTGGATGCAGATCTTCTGAAGGAAGCAGGCTTCCCCAAAACAGTATGCCTCTTGACATCTCCTCCCCCAACCAAGCCACCTTTGCCCCATTCAGTAGAGGAGTCTGATGAACCAGGTTCTGGTGATGCTGGCACAGAAACTCCAGCCTCAACCAACTCTGCAGCTTCGTGTGACGTTTTTGGTGCCTTTCACCTCCATTCAACAGATAGCTGTGGCAAAAGCCCTGGCCTCTCTTCCCTGGAGAGTGAAGAGCATTCCACAGAGGGCAGTAAGGAGCAGCTTCCGAAAGAGGCGTGCAGCAAGATTCCCATGGATTGGGAGCAACACTTGCACCTCACCCCAGCTCCCTTGAAGACTGGAGGGCACGAAGAAGAATCATCCCAGCCTTTCACTGCTGCTCATAGTCTGGCTGCAGGTAATGTATAGAGGATCCTGCCCCGTCTCTGTCAGATGGGCCAACCTGTGGTATGTCAATGTGCAATAGTACCCTATAGGGAATGGAGATGGCTTCCTCCCTCCATGTGTATTTGTTCCATCTGTGTCTCTAGCCAAACGGGCATTTTCTTGTTTTTGTGTGTGTTAAGATCTTTCCTCTCAACCTCTTATAGACTTCTTTTGGGAAAGTTGTGTATATTTTAGTGTTTTTCTTAGTGGTGGTGGTGATGGTGGGAATAAACTTCTTAGCCTTTGGATATGTAAAATAAAGCATCACTTTGTCTATCTGATCTGGCCTGTATTGTTTTTCCAGGGAATCTGTCTTCTCCCCCCACCCATCCATACTACTTGCAGTTTTTATCTTGGAAAGAGGGGTGCCAAATAAATATGGCTGTTATGATTGGCTTCTGAGATCCCACCAGGGCATTGTGGATATGGGAACAGAAATGACCAATAGCTTCTAGAATGCAAACAGAAATCATGGGGTTTGCTATATGTGAACTGCACAAACATGGCTGGCATATGGGAGAAGCAAACCAGATTTGTTTAGAACATAAGAACAAGTATCAGGAAAAATTGATCCCAAGGTATCCCTCATCCTGTTCGGCAGCCATGAGCTCTTGGGGATGTCTTCTTTAATAATCCTTTGGCAAAGGTGCCTTTTGCAATCTCTTCATGCCATGAGATTTTGCATCCTTTGGTGAACTGAGCTGTGCCTGGGCCAGCAGGCGCTGAGAACATTAGAGAGCAGAGCAGGGATTAATCAGCACAGTGTTACAGTCCCCTGAAATGCTTGGACAGGCAGATGCTTTTATGGGGCTCATAACTAATCTGATCCAAGTTGCGCTGCAGTCTGAACCTGCCTCTCCTCTCTAGGGAACAGGAATCATGCAGGCCAGATCCACGCATTGCTGTGTTTAGTCAAATATCCTAGCATTGGGTGGATTCACTAAGCCAAAGCCAAACAAACCATACTGATAACATGTGAACATAGAGAGGGCCATAGAGAGCCCAGTCTTATTGTCTATGCCCTGGAAAACAGGGCTGGGTCTAATAGGCTTATAGAATTGTAGATTTTTGATTGAATATTAGGAAAACCCTTTCCACAGTAAGAAGAGCTAAGCATTATAAATGAATGAATCATTGAAGCTGTCATGTTTCTATCACAGGAAGGCTAGACGGCCATTTGTCAGGGATCCTCTGATTTCCTGGAATGAGCAAGGGGTTAGTTAGCTTAAAAGCCTCTTGCTAACCAAGACAGATTTGCTTTAATGAAATTTCAGTCTTGAAATACAGGAAGTGATCAGAAGTATTCCTCAGGAGATGGATTGCATCTAGATCTTTTCAAGCCATAGGTGTATTGAAATAGTGGGAAGGGCATTGGGGAAAACTCACTTTGCAATTTCTTGTCTTAACATGTTCGTATGCTGAAAGATTCCTGGATTCAAAAATGATTCTGCTTTGGTAGCTGCTTTAGAATTCATAATTAGATAAATAATTTTGGTTTGCTAATAGAGTAATAGGAGCTGAGAAACAATTTAAATCCTCATGTCCTTCAGCTTCTCCTTGCTCCATTACTCCATCTAGTTGATTGAAACTAGAACCAAGTAATCTTATAGGAATTAGGAACAGATCCTGGTAAAATGAAGCTTTAATCACTCGTAAGAACTCCTGCATCTCTTTCTCTGACTCTGAGAAAGTTTTAGGTGATTGATGTGAGCAGTTATTAGGAGGGAAGCTGTTCAAGAAGTAGAGAGTTGCTGATATTTTTTTAAAAAACCTCAGTCTGCAGGCCTTTCAGGCAGTCAGCCCTAATAGTTCTCTTTCATGGAAGACGTGGCCAGTGGAGCCACTAGCAGTAGATGAGCACGCTAAAAATGTCTGGTACTGGAGATGGGCCCAATACAATCTCTGAACCCATTTTAAAATTAATTAGTTGGGATCACAACACTTACAGGCCAAGCGTTGGATTGTAACTGCAATGGAATATATTTCTTGCAAATCTGAGAAATATCTCATTTTTTTCTTTAAAAACCTAGCCTCTTTCCACTCCTTCTCTTTTTTGTTCTTGTCTGTCGCTTCCTTTCTGTCTGTTGTGCCCACTACCCATCTTGAGGGCCATCCTTTCCAACCCAAGCTCCTTGCCCTATTTGTAGGTGACAATGGGGCTGGCTTGCCCTTCCCCTGGGAACCATGTCCATCAGAGATCCTCTCCACTATCTATGAAGTAGAAAGTGGTGCTGAAACGCCTGGCCCAGATGAAGAGGATGGGAGTCGCTGTTTGCGCGCCACCTCCCGAGAACAGGCTCTTCACCTAGGAAACATCCAGGCCACAGTCGTACAGCAGCTTATCAGCCGAGCACTGCTCTTCCCAGCAGAAGCACCTCCTGGGGCTGTCAGTGGGAAGGGGGCAATGAACAGCGAAGCAGAGATTGGCAAATGGACAGAACTGATCTCCCCTTTGGAAGAATCCCGGGCCAGCATCACTTCTGTGACAAGCTTCTCCCCCGAGGACATGTCATCCCCCCATGGGGACTGGACTGTGGTAGAAGTAGAAACCTTTCACTGATTATTTTTCCCCATCACCCCTCCCAAGTTAATCTCTCTGGAAGGCATTATTTTTTGGGTGTACCACTACTTATGATCCAAGTGTTTCTATTTATGTCCAGGAAGGGTCAACTATTAGCTGACTCGAGATACTGCTCTCTGCTTCCTCTTCAGCAGCTAATGGCATGAACGGTAATGCATCCTTCCTATAGTTCAGCACTTGTGAGACATGATTACTTTTGTCCCATGCAAGATGGCCTTTGAATTGTTTTTGGTTCAGCAGAGTGACCAACCCTTCATGTTTGGGACTTTCAGGGCATAAGTTTATTTCCAGAGGGTAAGGTCCATCTTTACTCAGTCTTAACATGTGATTGTGCCAATTATTGATATCGCTATCTGTCAAACATGATAAAAACAAAGCCCCCCCCATGAATGTTTTGATAAGTACAACAGTGTTCTTCATTAGTGAAGGCTATCAGTAACAGAAGATGCTAGTGGCCCTGATTACTAACACCTACTTACAGAAATCCATCAACATTTGGTTGCCAGGCTGCTAATATTTGACTTTTGTCATGGTTAACTTTCAAAACCAAATTTCTTACTCTTGAGAAAAGGTGTTTTATCTTGAGAAGCTGTCTAGGAAGTAGCACCTCAAAGGTGGTGTCCACACAATACACTTACGTATACACAATACACTAACGGATGAATTTGTAAATGATCAAACAGCCTGGATTTGCATAGCATGTTTGGTACAAGAACATGGATTAATTCAAAAAGCAGCTTAAGTGGGTTGTGTGAATGTAGCCAGTGTGGAAGAGAAATCTGCAAATGAGGACATTTTAGTGCTTTTGAATAAGTGGCATATCTACTGCTTGGAATGTGGTCACTCTAAGCCTCTTGTCTACTTCTTTGAAGTGCACGACCAGCAACACATGCAGCCTGTACATTGGCTGGAAGAGGCCTTGAACTTGAAGGGAGATGTACTTTAGCATCCTGAACAAGAGTTGGTAAGAATAGTCTGCTAAAGAATCAGTTTGGGAATTCTCTTCAAAGGTGCAATTATCTACCTGAAGTGGAAAAGTTTGGAAAATATAGGGACCAAGTTTTATTTTGATGCACCAGATTCTTACACCTGTGTTAGCCTGAGCCTCCATGCTGACACAGCAGTAAATAACTGCATTTGTTTCTCTGTGCCAGTGGTTGTGCCTGGCCAAGTAGAGGTGTGTGTGTGCCATTGTTAGGGGCTTTCCTGACTTGTGGGCCAATGCAGTGGTGGGATGAGGAACTTCTGGCACAACTGTAGGTTGTGAATTCCAGTTCCGAGCAGTCAGTATGCATAACTGTTCAACACTAGACAATGTTTAGTAGCATCTAGAGAGTCATATTTGGCAATGCAACCCTGTTAGGTTTGCTCTGCATTTGTTAGCAAGAGTGGGATGAAACTACACTGCCACTATGGGGTGGCATTCAGATAAACTGTTTCCATCATACGACAACAACTGCTGAACAGTTCCCTGCATTATTTTTTGTTGTTACCAAATATGCACATTTGAGAGTCTATATTAAATTGCCTAAAATTAGAGCAGCGATGACTATCTAAAAGTTAGGCTGCCCTTCTAACCTACTACCAGAAAAACATTGTGAGAAAACTTTCTAACTGCCGTATTTAAAAGAGGTACTCATGAAGCCAATCTTCTGTTGCAATACTCCTTCTGCCCTTCCGAAAACTGAAACTTTTTTCCATAATGTAAACGTGTTAAATGTTCATCTCAGTAACTGCCATTTTCCTATACCTGCTTTCCCAAATCACTTGAAATGCAGTTCCAATAGTTAATGTTGATACAGAGCCTTATTATCTGTAACAAAGTATTGATGTGTGCAACTTTTTTTGTAACGTAGCAGATTGTGATAAATTATAGAAGATTTTTTAAAAAAATAAAAATGAATTTGAGGCTATTCTGTTGTCCCTTTTTGAAAATTGTTTGGTTTTTAACATTCAGGAACAGTGCAAGATTGGTTATGTTCCTAATGGGTCAGGGCTTCTCGATCCTACCTAAAACAAGGTAGGCTGTCGCTTGGCTAGTTCTTGATGTGTCATTCTGCAGACTAAAGTTCTGCTGCTGAACCAGAATCTTCTTACAATATACAGGGGCTGGTTCTGTGTAGAAAACCAAATGGCTATACTTCTTCTGCAATGGCTGTAACTTTGCTTTAAATTCTTAAAAATTCTAGGTAGGCTTCAGGAAGTTCACCATCTGAATTTCCAACACTAGGTACTCATGATCACACAGACTTATGGAATTAGTCTCCTTCCTTGGTGGAAATCTCTCTAGCCTCTTTTTTCACTTACTTAAGCTACTGCATAATCGTAACAAAAGGATAGCATCTGTCACTTGCAGAGCAGAAGTAGCTGAGATTGTTCTAATTCTTTCACTGGGATTAGCCCGTGAACAAGAGTGTAAGGGCAAGTTTAGAAGATTATACTAAACACACTAAATTTGATATGGCAGCAACTCCACCTCAGCCCGCTGATATGAGCATCTTGTACCGCAGGAGGAATGGACAGTACTGAAAAGTCCTGATCTGCTATGCAATCTTCACTTTCCTAAACCAAACTCTATTGTAGCAAACCTTTGCCTGGGGACCTGGAAGACTTGGCAGACTTCTGTACATGGGCTAGGCAGTACCATTTTTGCTACAGTAAATCATACAATGAGTGGTATTCAGATGCAGCATGTAAGACCTAAATATCTGCATGTTCTCCTAATTTTCTACTCTATCCCCAAAATGTATTTTTTAAAGCATATAATATGCTATGCATGGTTACTACATAGCCTTTTAGCCAATTGGTATTCTCAGGGAAAAGTCCTCCATAGCAAAAAGGAAAGTTGTATCATGTTTTTCCATTCCTTGCTTCCCCCCCCCCCCCCCCCAAACCGAGATTGGGCACTGTTAATTCTGAGGTGAGATACACAAAGTTCAATTCGGGAAGACTATCTTTAGTCCTTGAAGTCCAAGTCAGGCTCTATTAAGGAAGATCGTTGCCATTGGTAGCTGCTTAAAAATGGAGTCAAGACACTAATGTTACAACCAAAAAGTGTAGCTATTCCACTCCAGCAAGGAGTCATATTAACCCAAGGAACTGTTCGAACACAAGAGCAGGCGGCCATTTCCCAAGCAGGATGGGAGCACAATCCTCCACCTGAAGCTGATTTATGGAAGCTTAGCAGGTATGTGACATAAGTTGAAAGCTTGGAAGACCAGTCTGATAGACAAATTGAATTATACTTATGTTTGAAGTGGACTTTACCTCTGGAGGTACGGCATTGCTTGATTTTATTGTAAATCATCTTTGCAAAAGATGGCATCAACCCTGTTATTGTCCACACTGAAAAACAGAGTCATGAAAAAAAACATAAAAGAGTTCTGCTGGCTCGTATCAAAGGTATGTCCATTTCAGCATGCTATTTTCTGCAGACAAACGCTGCAAGGCAATCGTCCCACCTCTCCCCAACATCTGGTAATGAGATGTATTCTGCTTCTGAGTTTGGAATTCCTTTAAAGTTATCATGGGGTTAGCAAGGGAGAGACCTAGTCTGTCTAAAACCAACACATTTTAGGAAAGAGAATTTCACCAACTCATTGTAACATATGGAAAAGCACTTTTGTACAGTACCTACTGTCCACCACTATAATTAGATGCCCCTGAGTAACTTGAGGGGGAAATGCCCACTTTTTCCATCCCATATAGAATTAACAATGTCTGTCTTTTCCCACCTCAATAAAAACAGTTGCGATGCTTTTACCTTTCCAACAGAAAAAAGGACTGCAACTCTTTAATCAAGTTGGTTACCTTACTGTTTTTGTAACAAGGCATAGCATGCTGCAGGGACATCTCATAGATTCCCCCAAGTCAACTACTGTATATCCAATTGAAGTATTCTTGCTAAAATAAACAGTAAATACCACACCATTATATTAACTGGGATAACTTCTACAGGTTCTGTATTTATACACATTGTGCATCAGCAGTTGCATTTCTGTAGATATCCATAATTAACATCCAACACACCCCTTTTTTAAATGCTAGAAAGAGTGTTGTTAAAAAAATGGCTTTCTTAGAGAGATGGAGCCAAAGGTGCACACGACAGGAGGGAACATCCAGACGACCTAGAGATAAAACCACTTAGACTGGACCTGTGTCCACCTATATGGGAATAAATTCTCCTGAATCTGATAATTATTTTGGGGGGAAAATGCAAGAGGTGATGGATGGTCCTAAAATCAGGCAGTCCCAGCCCCTACTGTTATTTCCACATGGAATAGCCTATTCAGAAATTGATCTTAAGCACAGGGGCAGAGTTTATTAGGTTTGTATTCCCAAAGAGCCACCATCCACTTTTCTTTTGTGTAGGAATGTGAGCTTGGATGGCATCATGGCTTCACTTTAATGAGTAGTTACATCCAACCAAGATAGGGAGCCAGAATTCACATATCAAAAATGGCCATGATTCCATCACCACTCCCCAATTCTTCTTTCAGCATTACACTCAAACTAGACTTAAAATAGGTTGGATGCAATTGTCCTGACCTGAGAATTATCCAATGTGGTGGAGCAAGTTACACAAGTTTTTGAGCAGATATGCTCAAAAATTAAAATTTTGCTACTTGTGCTTACTATCCCTGCAAAGATGTTATGAAGATTTGCATACATTGTAAGGTAGATTCCTCTGTGGAAAAAGTAGACTAAATGAGGTGTGAATAAATCAACGTGTGCCCAACTCACAATTCAGCAACCAATCTTTGGTCAAGCCTACTGTCTTTTCACATTTTTCAAGATTTTTTTACATTATGATCTGGGCACATGATGAAACAACAAAGTAATTTATCATGCACATATATATTTTTTTTAAAAGTTAATTGTTATCAGTAAGTGATGATCAGGTATATTTACACACTAGTTCTTAAGCATGACTGAGAAAAATTCATGTATGCGTCAACACAGCTGTTACCAGCTTTTTAGTCTTTCATTGCAAAGTTACGCCTTGAGCAGCTCCTTAAACACTGAAGCCGCACCAGTACAATACTCATTCCATCATGGCCTCACTGAGCTTTCAGATCACTATAGTGGGCCAGCCGTACATTTAATTTTTTTCAATTTACCTACTGCAGATTGATGCCATCTCCCTTCATTTGGTCTGGGATGAGTAAGAGGCGAACCAAAAGAGCTCCATATCTATTACCAAAAGGAGTGAGCAGGATCAAAAGCCACTCCAGCTGCTGCTGGGTCACTCACTCTGTTTCCTACACTGTATGGTGTATTACTTCTTGTACAGCAAGTTTCTAATAAACAAAATACAAGGGGTAAGACTTGTTAGAACTTAAGAATCTTGTTTTTTTATTCCCAGCTCTGGACAAAATAATAGGGCCTAGTGCAATAGAGAGCAATGTGCAGCCAGTATGTAAGCCCCTGAGGCACTTCTGTGCTACAACATCAAGAACCTCTGCTTTCAAAGTTCAAACAATAAGTTTCTAGCCCTCATGGGTCCAAAGAAAATGTTGAGAACATAAAATTCAGTGTGCTCATATCTGCATTCTTCTTGGTATGCAAATGGAAGTCTCCTTCTCTCTCTTTGCAGTTATGTAGTTTTCTGTTCCTAGGGCACAACTGAACAGAGTAGATATAAAACTTTCCCACTTACTCTCATGCGTAATAAGATCCCCTTCACATTCCTAATTTAGACCAGTTTGGAAGTGATCTGTCATGATTCTCCAATGAGTAGCGCTAGGATATGATGTTCTGTATATGGTCTAAGATCCTATTCCAAGGAGTTTTCTGCATCCTCTATAAAGTTCCCATTGTTTTTAATGCAAAACTGAAATTAACCTCTAATCTGTGAAACACGTTTCCTAGCCAACAGTAAGTACAGTGTGTCTTCAAAGCCACCAAGAATCTGAAATGTTGTATAATGTGCCCACCAGCACCCCTCCATCAACTGATTTTACAAGTTTGCCAAGAATAATTTTTACTGTTGTACACTCTCCTCTTGCCGTTGCTGTCTTTTGGGGTTTAGCCTGCTTAAATGGGAGGAGGCCAATCCTAAAGATAGGAAAGTTTTCATCTGGGTTTTTGATAGAGAAAAACCAGTTCTGACCACTTCAATTCCCTATCCTTTTTTATGACCCCAAAGCATTAATACTGGTGGTATGATCTACTATAGTCCCTAGATAAGAACACTCACTGCTAGTGAAAAATACATACACACGCACACACACGCACACAGTTATAACTCTCTGCCCACTGGAAAGAGCCCATCTATAAATCCTACATTTATTTTAGACTTTTTTGGTGATTATGTAAAGGTTACCGCGCTTTTATGCCCACGGATTACAATACTGAAAATTGAGGTGGAACCCTTAAGGTCTATTTCCATCTATGGACTAGACAGAATATAATCTATCCCAACTTGCTTTCTTCTTTCCAAAACTTGATTACCAGATGACACTTCTCCCTAGAACAGAACCCAAAACTTGGAGCCCTCTCACACACGTTTGCCCTTTAAATACACAGTCATTTCAGCTGTTCCATTACCCTTTCTAGAGGGCTAACATATCTGGGAATACTAAATCATTTTATTTCGGTTTAAATATTTATATTTTTAAAAAATGGGGAAGAAAAAATAATAAAAAGCAGTTGACTCTGGGCACCAACCATGAAAATTGGAAGAAAAGGCTACCTGAACAGAAAAGAGAATAAAAAGCTATTTGATTAAAACCTCCTGACACCTCCAGCAAGCTCTTTTTCTTGCCAATCACAGCAACAAGGGAGGGGCAGTCAGGGCTATCAAATGCTACTGTTGGGGAGAGGGGAGGGAGAAGCAGTTTGGGTGCTGAAGCATAAATTATTTCAGCTAAGGTGAGATTGGGAAAAGGAGCAAAACCACATTGCCTCATCTTTCCCCCAAACAGACAATGCACTATGGTGAGTGAAAAGCTTGGGGTAGGGTAAGACAGGCAGGATGAGAGAAGAAAGTGAGCTTTTAGCCTTCTAACACCAGTTTTTGGGATCACCAGATAACCAGGATAGAGAAGCCACAAAAGCTGGGTCATCATTTCTGCCTCCCTCCTCTCACCAGATATGGTCAAAGCCCTTGCCGTGCCCCCACAACGTTGTCTTGTTTCCATAGAGGCAAAGGAAGGCTGAAATGGCTGAGACAGTAGCGTTGGCAGAGTCCCTGTTTTCTCCCTCCCCCTCGCCACCTTTGCCCATCCTCCTCAGCCCATGAAGGAGTCGCCCTCGTCTTCTTCGAAGTGGCACTGCTGGAGGACCTTGATGTGATACTCGTAGATCTTGAGGGCAGGTCCCAGGCGAATAGAGAGGCCAGTAAGCACATCGGTGCGCTGCATCAGCAGCAGAGATTTCCCATCAATCTCCTAGGGAGAGGGAGGGGGAGGGGGAGGGATGGATACAAAAACAGCACATCATGATATTAGGGCATAGCAGTGTGCCAGGAAGAGGTTTCTTCATTTCTATGAAGCAGGAATAGAGTTCTAAGTCTGGCTGATTAAAACACTGATTAAGGCATATATGCATGCATGCATATACACATGCGCTATCTATATGCATATCTCTCACCAGTTTATGGGCCAGGAGGAGGTGTTACAGAATCAGACTGCCTAAGTTGGAAAGGACATTATAGGCCATCTAGTCCATCACTCTGCTTAGTATAGGAATCTACTAAAGGAAATGTGTTCTAGAAATAGATATGGCTGCAACTCCTCCTCCTTTAGTGATCACAACTGGGACCAGCAACTTGGTTGTTAAGCGAAGCGGTTGCTAAGTGAATCCAAGACTGTGCTTATGATCTTACTTCAGCTTTCCTTTGCTTTACACACCTGCGAAGATTGTAAATGCGAGGTTTGGTCATAATGTTTTTTCATCACCGATGTCATAACTGCAAATGGTTGCTAAATGAGGACTACCTGTATTCACATTTGCTAATTTCAAACATGCTTATAACAAAATTAAAAATAACTTATCCAACTGCACTGGCTTGGCCAGCCTCCCATTAGATAAAGTAAGGCAGCTGACTCAGGCCCAATCACTCATACTCTTCCTAGCTGTTTGTCAGTGTTTGCCATCCTATTCCTACCCTCTTAAAGTAATCAGGTACCCCAGGTGTGCTGGCAGACTTTGCCAGTGTGGAACTAAAATTCAATCATCAGTTCTGCTACCTTCTCAAAGTGGAATTCAGATGGGCATCAATATGATTCCTAGGCATCAAAATGGTTTAATTGCCCAGCAACCAAATGTTAGATGGAAATAAGACTTAAAGCTCTCAGAAAACACACAGCCTTTTACAAGCCTTTATGCAATTGGAAATTTCTGTTTTTGAAGAAGCCACCAAAAAGCTGTCTAAACAAAGAGCACAGAAAATAATATTGAACATCTAGGCCATAGCAAAAAATTAGGAAGCACGACCCTAGGAGGCTGAAGTCATCAGGAGGTGCAAAAGAGGGTGGGAAGCTCTCTGAAGGTATGTTCATCCTGTTTTGGTGAGAGGTACCAGAATCTTGTCACAGCATGAGCTCAAGGAAAACTAGTGGTGAAAAGGAGGAGCACCAGTGACAGCAGAGCCTCCATCCAGTGAGGGACCTCCTTCTGTCCTCAGTTTTACCCATTTTTAAAAGGAGTTTTTAAAATAAAACGTAAGACATGTATTGTTACTGAGATAAACCAATGTTCACACAGTGTATAATTACTTTTAGGCAGGTAGTTCACCTGAAGCGTTGGGAGGCTGGAATGGCACTGAGAATCACAAGGGTAGGAAACAGAACCACTACATGAAAGAACGCCATATGGCAACTGTGGTTTTGATGTACCTTTACCCAGATTTTTAAAGCAATTGCCCCCCAATCAAATGGGAACTAAACTCCAGACATAGTTCCAGCACTTTCTTCACTAAAAATAAGAGGCCAAGACTTTTAGGACTATTTCATAAACCCTTTAGCTTAAACATAATCCCCCAAACACTCTTCTCAGGATCCCCAGGTTCTCACCTGCTCCTGAAAGGCCGACGCTTGCTCAGCAAACCCGGCTTCTGTGAAATAATCCACAACGTCGCTGACAGTCCATTCCACTGGGTCAGAAGGCTTCTCTTTCACTGAGCTGGAGGAGGGGGAGAAAGTGAAACAGGGATCAGAGGCATTGCATGGCTTCTCCTCCACCATCAGGAGAAGCCAGAGATTCCTCACCAGCACCAGACTGATACAGAGATACTGTCTCTCTGTGTGTATGCATGTACACTCATGGATCCAAACGGTGAGGAGAAAGAATTCATCACAAGTGGATTGTATAGCTTCTTTCTATACAATCTAGAAGTCTAAATCCACCCCATAGCATTTACTGTAGATATGGATAAATGCATTAATACATATATTTTATCAATCACATTGTCAGAAGAGTTTATAAGTTAAATAAAGTAAATTGTAAAAATTAAGAAAATTATACACCACACCTCAGAAATTCGTACCAGCATCACAAAACAGTCAACTGGATGTAATGGCCTTAAAAACAATGGAATATAAAGTTATTGGCCTGAAGCTGAAAGCAGGTGTAAGACAAATCTCTCTGGAGTCAATGTTCCACAACTGGGAATGACTGAGGAGACCCTCTTTGCTCACAGCTTCCCATTTCACATCAATAATACCCATAGGAGGCAATGTGTAGTTAAGTACATATGGATGTAGAGTGGCCAAATACTCTGGTCCTTAGCTATGATTATATCTAAAAGATAAGGCATAGTTAGCATAGTACAGGTATAATACAATTGTAACATCCAGCCATGGTTGGTAAGTTTGCAGCTGGACTCTGCATTAAATGCTGTTTCTGAACAGCAATCAAAGAAGTCCAGCATAGAGCTCAATAAAATAGTTTAACCAGAGCCCAGAGAGCTGAAGCCAGGCTAGCTGTGAGTCTCCTCCAACATCTGGAAACACCCCATCAAGAGGCACTAAGATGACATGACACTTTAAGGATAACATACTAAACAACCCCAATGAGGATATTTCAACCTCACAACCCTTGTTTTGCAATCTAAAAGGAGGAGACTCACTTCCTCTGGCAATCAGCAGAGAAAGCAGCTGAAGATGTCTATATAGCCTTCCTCCTCCTCAGGCCATCTTTTACTTAAACAACAGTTTCCCTTCCCAAGGCATGGTATGTTAACATGCTTGGGGCTGCTGCCACTAGAACAACCAGTGTGTGGTAGCAATGACCATTACAAAAGTACAAAGAAAGTGAGGGATGAGCAAGGTCTTCAAGCTCCTTGAGATATCTTCAACCTGCACACATTGCTGAGAAGTCTGTCTGCTCTTTTTCTAGAATCTAGAGACAAGTGGTAATAGTGATGGAAGGGTTCAAATGCATATGCTTCTTCCTTATCATAAACAAACTGGGAGTCATTGAAGAAACAGTTTGTGTTCTCTGCATAAAACTTACACGCAACTGAATGGTCTCCCATCTGCCTGGATGCCAGGTCTCCCAGGAGATGAGGGCACAGAGGGATCAGCCCCTGCAACAGCTGGTGACACTGGAGAAGAAGCAGAGAAGGAGAGAAATCAACAGGAATAGGTTTTATTCTGTATCAGTATACCTGGAATTGGACTGAACTGAGTTTGGGGCCCTTTAAAGTGAACAATGCTATTATCCAAAGACAGTTTCAATTCCCAAGATAGCTAATGCCATCTAGCCATATTCCTGCCTGTTACTTGCTCCAGCTCTACTTCCAACCTACTCTAGAACTCCAATTCATAGTTCTTAATACTGAATTAAATGATGACCTCCATATTTATTGCAGATCTACACATATATACTGATATATAATGCATTACATAAAAATATCATTTAATCCATAACAGTGTTACTAACATCTTACATGATCCCAACCTCAGATCCTTTGCCTTACTATCTACTAAGTTTTCCAGAAAAGCCAAATTTAGTCAACCACTTTCCCATCTTCTGCTACGTCTTCCTGCCTGACCCATACCTGCTCTGTCTGGCTGCTGATAGGCACTGCCATCTTTCTTGCTGCCTCCCAGATGGTGACAGGCACTTTCTCCAGGCCAAGAGGCCTTTGTGTGACATTGCTCATTTCCTTCATGCTGAGAATGCTCCAATCCTTTGTTCAAAGATGCTTCCTCTAGGGAGCGCAGGTCTCTGGGGGCGGCACTGCTGGGTGGGATCTCTTTCCCACCATGCTTGCTGTCCTTACAGTCACCATTCACCTGGCCTGTCCCAGGTCTGCTGTAGCTGCTGGCCTCATAATCTTGTGCCACTTCTGAGCCTTCAGACATAGTGGAGACTTCATCCTCTTCTTCCTCTTCGTCCTCGTCTTCTTCGCCTTTGACCTCCTCCCCTGCCTTCTATTAACATCACAGAGAGTAAATGAGAACAGCAAACAAACAAAAAGTCTTAATCGGGCATCCTCCTGACATATTGGGGCTTCACCTATGGTGAAGGCCAGTACAGTGATCACCTGGGAGCAAGCACAAATACTTTTGAGACACTTACATCATCACACTGTTAGTTACTTTTGATAAGACATCTCACATCCCAAACCCAAGCAGTTTCCAAGCCATCTTGGAGGAGAGCCTGTTTGTCCTTTCTGTTTCAGTTTCCCTTATTTGTATAAACCCAGTTATTTCTGAGGGCAGTTGATGCAGTGAGACTAAGTAGTGCTGGGATGAGAAACTTCTTAAAGGTCTCCACTGCTCTGGCAATGTGCTCAAAAGCTCTTTGAAACAGGAGCAGGAAACTTCTAATCCAGGGAGAATTTAGTGTTACTAAACTACCGCCTCCTCTATCTTTCCACCTGCCAGGTTTTATGAAAGTCTGTGATCATTCTCATCAATTAAAGGTTGCAAAAATAAAGATTCAAAAAGGGGGTAGGGTCTTTTTCCTAAACTGTAATATTAATCCCTCCATGGTAATTACAAGGTTGCTCACTGAATTGGATAATATATCTGAGGTGATTACCCTCCTGACACACACTGCATGATATTTTCCTCCCCACCTTCAGCTTACCCATATTTGCATTCATTCAGTACTGCTCCCACCACCTCTTGACTTTATTGGAGGTTACCAAATTCTTTAGGTCAAGCACAAACTGACTCTTTGTTCTGTGTTTATATGGAGCCTGGTACGACTGGGGTGGGGGTAGAAGGGGGCGCTGTTCTGGGCCCAATGTACACCAATGCCAGTAAACTAATGTTATGGAAGGACCACACACAGGTGAGCTAAGAAAGGACCCTCATATGTTGGAAGAGCGTCGTCCACCACCTTCCCCCCCAGAGTCGACCTTCAAGTTCTCTGGGCGCCAAAAAACACCCAGAGTCTGTCTCTTAACCTTTACGGAATACTTCGGAAATGTACGGGGGAATATTGCCCCGTTTAAAACCACGCACCAATCCTAGCGCCCCCTCCAGTGCGACACGATTTGATTGGGTGCTGCCCTCAACTCTTCCTTCCAGACACACGCACACCTGCACGAGAGCCCACTGACAACAT